TTAAACGATTAATCGAATCGAATCGTGGTGTATTCTTGAGTATCGAAAATAATCAAATCGTTGGGTCAGGAAATCGATACTGAATCAAATCGCCATGATGGATGTGATTTACACCACTAATGCTAAATATAGATGCAGAAACTGAACACAGATTCATTTCAGTATTGATAAATTGGATTGCAGGTGTAAATCTCCAGTATTTTACAGGTTCTGATGTTTAGCATATGTTCTGCATATATATTTGAAAACAAGGATGCTAAATGGACTGCACCTGCTTTTTTGGCTTCACAGGCCCAAACCCCACTTCAACTAGTTAGAAGATCATATCTACATGTACCTTACTTAGATCATCTTCTAAGGAAGGTACAGGTAAATATTGTTGACCTCTACATGGAAGGGCAAGGAATCTTTAATTTTTGGAGGCAATGCTAACATATCATCAAAATTCTGACAAGAAAAGATCTCTGTTTATAAGGCTTAATTCCATACCTTCCACTTTGTATGACACTAAGGCCCACGAATGGGAAGTACATTCTATCACATGTACCCCACTACCCAGCTATGCCAGTGGCCTTTGTGGGGCTTTTGGAAGGGGACAGATTTGAGTGGCTGCATTGCTGTGCGTGCAAACAAGGCAAACAATAGGCTCAAAGAAGTCCAGTGCCAAGCACAGAGCAGATTAGAAGTAGAATGTGTTAGATCATGAGGGGAAGATGAGGAACAATAGCTTGGTATAAAGAAATAGACTGGAGAGAGAGCTGCTGTTTCCCCCCTCTGTGAATGATTTACTTTCAGGAGCAAAAAGGTAGAATATCAAATATATATCTTATGAATCTGGAAAATCTTAAGATGGTTTTGAGGCATTAAAATGTTATAAGTTCAACCTAACGTCACCTTAACATATCATGAACAGTCTTGGTTTAAAGAATTAAGCGCTGATACATCATTAAAAGTTGTTCTCTTTTATGCGTTATGTTTGCTGCTTTATAACTGAACAAGCTGGAAATGCATTGGTGAATTTAGAGAAACTCAATCATGCATTTATCTGTAAAAGAATTGATCACTGCTACAGTGTCTTCACAGGTTTGCCAGAAAAGTCCATCAGAAATCTGCAACAGATCCAAAACACTGCTGCCCGTGTTCCCACTAGAACTAAGAAAGTAGAGCGCATCGGCCCGGTTCTAAAGTCCTTCCAATCTGTAGCTCAGAGAATAGACTTTAAAATCCTTCTGTTAGTCTAGAAATCACTGAATAGATCAGCACCTCAATCCATAACAGATCTGTTGTCAGTGGATCAACCTCTCAGACCACTCAGGTCTTCTAGTTGCAGTCCACTCTCCCCACCCAGAACTAGAACCAAACATGGAGAAGCAGCATTTAGTTCCTATGCTCCATTGATCTGGAACAGAAGACTAGAAAAGAGCTGAAAGCCTGAGTTCTTTGAAGTCAAAGTTGACATTTTATTATCCAATTCATGTAAAGCACTTTGAATTGTCCATGTACTGAACTGTGCTTTACAAATAAAATAGCCTTGCCTTGAATTTGACCCTATCTGATTTCAATGACTTTTGCACTTTTTAACTTAGATGACTCTGTAATGCAAAGTGACAATCATACCATGACTACATACCATAGAAAAGTCATAGGGACCGATCCTTAGAAGGCTAAATGGACTGCAGCTGGTTAACAACCATCAACAATCAAACCAACAGTACCAGATTTCTGCACTAGTATTTTTACATCTTCACTTGGTCTCAACAAATGAATTATTCCCATTTTGACAAACATAAAGGTCTTATTGTCAGGATAATGGGGTTTGTGTACATTTGCATGTGAGTTCTGTGGGTTCTCCACTGGAGCTTGGTGGAGGGCTACTCTCTGGACTGTCTAGGATTGGTGTGTTCTTGAAACATATGGCATTCGTCAGCCAGTTTACTGGGACATATCGGGAGCTGGCTGCCAGTTGTTAACACAGAGAGTTTAACCTGGTTAGTAAATAAAAGCCATCTGGTCTCTTTTTTAACTTTGATAATTGGTCCCTTTAAAGATGCTCCCTGCTGATTCCTTTTGCTTCTAATTTTTAAGGGACCCTTGAGCCAAACCTGACTTCCTTCTCTATGCTCATGCTTGTCTTCACACCAATCACTAGTACTTAAAACATCTCCATGAGCAACAGCCATAATCATTCCAGTCCTCATGTGCTACCTATCTGCGCTCCGCTGCCTCATCTATCATTCAATACCTGCTATAACAAACATAACCCCAGGACTCCACTCAGTCACAAACCCCTGGCGTTTCCAATAAGAAAACTCCCTCATATTTCCAGATCATTCCTCATTTGTTCTCCTTGTTCACATCTGTCTCCCCCTCAGTGGCCTCGCTCTCCTGTTTACCCAGCGGACTCCCAAGCCAAGATCAACTATATGTTTAACAATTAACCAACACTATGACAAAATAGCTAAATGGAAACCATGTTACTCCATCTGTTAACATTAAACTATCCAAAAGATATTAATATGGGGCTAAACCTTCTTTAACCGTTAATCTGGCCAACAGCTACTAAAAGTGGCTAAAAATAACGGTGTCAAAAGTATTCTAAGATCCC